AGAATTGGATGAGAAACACTATTGAGTATAACTGAAGTAAATATTAAAATAATGTGATAAAAGCCGATTTACAAAAAATACGCAATAACGCACGACAAAGAAAATTAACAGTGAGCTTTGTCCCACAAAAGTATGTTGATCCACACATGATCTTTGGATTTCATTCCACATTAAGACTCCTTATCAATAATGTTAAAGAGCATTTTAGAATTGAGATAAAACGTAGTTAAGATGAGACGCAATACCGAAAAAGGAAATTTCGCTGATAAAATCACAAAAGGTAAAGTGAAGACAATGGACGAATTCCACCAATGAGCACCTTCTTCCGAATTGGCTGACTCAGGAACAATTTGGCATCTACTCTTGAATAGGTTCATTAGTCATGACTTCGAGCGAGGGTCAACTGCAATGGGTTAACCGAATCACAAGGTCGTCCGTTTAAGACGTACCGCCGTGGAAGAATTCGATGGTACGTGAGGGGCTCATTGCCATGAAGGAAGAATTCAAGGAACATGTACTTGAACAATTAAGAATAATAGCATATATATATATATATATAATGAGTCAAGACGAACCTAAACGATATGCCATATAAACTCCCAACAAATATGAAAGTTGATAATTATAACACTACATAAAATTATTATGCTATGCAGAACCAATAAAACATTGAAATGCTTAATAAAATTTATAATTCCGAGGAAAATCACTTTATTTAACTTTTACACCTCCCACTCCATGCTTCAATTCATTTTAATTTTCTCGACGACGTTTCAGACAATTTTGCCCATTTTCAAATCGAAATATTTCTCTATAATATTATAATACAATAATTACAAATATATATACAAAAGATATAAGAGCACATAAATGAAAATTCCAAAAAGTCAAATTGTCCAAATCATTATTCTATCATCTAAGTAATACTATTTTTAATATAATAATTTTAAATTTTTTCTTTTTCTTCTCCTGATATTCTTCTAATTATAAATTTCATAAATTATTAATGAAAAGTCGATTATAAAAATGAAAATAAAGATACTGAACATACGAGATGTCTCCATATTGTATTATAATAATATTATAGATAAATATTTTCACTTGAAAGTGGGCAAAATTGCCTGAAACGTCGTCGAGAAAATTAAAAAGGTTTTCCTCAAAATTATAAATTTTATTAATTATAAATGTCCTTGAAAATTTGGAAGATTTAATTAAAATACTTTATTTCGGGCCGAAAACGGTTACTGTCTCAGGTGATAATATTAATTTACTATAGACTTAACCACAAATTCCAAAAAGTTAAAATAAATAGAAAGCGAAATTTGAAATGAAAAAGGTTGAAAAAGTTTAATTTGTCTTAGAAATAATTAAATATGACTTTAAAAAAAAGAAAATTATTTTACTTGAAAGGAATCGAATTTGACTTGGAATAGTGTAATATGGCTTGGAAACGCTATTTTATGGAAGAACCAGTACAGAAAATCAAATCTCTATATTCTTAAACAATATACATTTTTAAAAAAATTAATTATTTTAATCCATGATAGCACTTAAAATTTCACAATATTATGAAAATATTTTCACCGTTAAATGCAAATTATAAACATTAAAATTGAATTAAATATTTAAACGATAGTAATTTTGAATAACATTAAATATAAACAAGTCCTTGGAGACGGAATCTTCGTTCTAGCATTTTAAACTTATAAAAATTATATTTTTCTTTTTCACTTAACTTTACTATTTACATTTTAAATAAAAATTGAAATTAATAGTTTATGTCATTTTAAAATCATAACTGAATCAAATAGACAGAACTACTTATGCTTTCATAAAAACTGTAAATCATAAAGCGCTCATGAATATTAATGATTAGTGAGATTTGACTCTGTACTTTATTTCCTCTGGAAATGAGATGCAAAGGAAAAATAATTATTTTTGAAGAGAAAAAAAAGTGAATATTGCTTAGATTTAGCACATCTGTGCTTCAGAATTCCGAAAAAATAGTAAAACATTTTAAATAATTTATTTATTGGATAATTCGTTTTTTAATAATTATTTTGATTTTTTTAAATGCGAAAAACTAAATCACAATGCTAGTAGTATCATTTTTATAAACGTTATCTTCAGATAAGGCAAAGTTAAATGAAATAAATTCCTGCGCAGTTCAACACACAATTTAATAAAAATCTCTTAGAACAACTTTCAAGTATTGCTAACATATTATTCACATGATTTTACTAATGATGATTGTAAAAAAAAAAAAAAAAAAATCGCAATTGATAATAAAGGAATGCAAATCTAAAATACTGACTGATAAAGATTTTTAAAAAAACATTACTAATATAAATAAATCAACGACTATTACGAACAATTGCACGTGCATTCGTCCAATGTTTCGAAATTGTGGCAATGGTCGTTTGAAATTATATGTTAGGGTTAAGAGAGAAATTATTGAGGTCAAATACTCATTCGGGTATATCACATGATTACTAGGTTCTGAGGATTTAAATGAACACATCATTAAAACCCTGCAAATTATTTCACAATGGTTTATAATTTCCAAACAGTTATACATCTAAAGTAAAATTATCTTCCAACTGAAAAAAAAGAAATAAATGTTGATTACAATTATTGGAGTAAATACTTTCTTTTAATCATTAGTAATATGCTAAAAAAAATAGCATTACTTCAGTAACACATTCAAAAAGAAAAAAAAAAGGATATAACCTTTGCAGTATAACATATAAAAAACAACTAGAGACCATATATTTGCTCCTAATTGTCCGAGTTTAGCGATTGATTTTTTTTTTTTTAGGAAATTCCGTGAACTTTTAAATAACCATTACAATATTCACAAAAAGTGTATACTTTTTGAGTTATTCGGAATTTAATTTTAACAGCCCTCGTAACTTTTTATACATGATAAATTTAAAGGGCATCGAGAATAAGACTTTAGCGAAGTTCCATTGCAATCGGTACATTCGTTTAGACGCCATAGTCTATAGCAACGCAGGTTTTTCGGATTGAAAAGGCGGATTGAAATGTCGATGAAGGAGGATCATCCTCGGGTGACCTCTAATTTTAAATCTAAATTTGAAAAAAGATCGGTCGGGTACTTCGGAAAAAATACGGACAAAAAAATTTGTATTCCTTTTTCGAATTCTACATATCCTGAAACGTAAAACCTCAAATTTTGAGAGGGGATTAAGTTTTTGAATTTTTTGGTCGATTACAATGGTTCATTATTGAAAATAATAAACCAAAAAATTTAAGTATTATTTTCCTTCGAAAATTGCATATAATAGGGTTTACACAGAGAACTGGAATTGCAAAAAAAGAGAAAGAAAACTGAACTAACAATTTGTGAGGGTTAATATAAATTCTTCAGTTAGATTTATGTGTGTATCTCTTCTAAATTCTAGATTAACCTCCGCTATACATAGCAATATTTAAATAAATAAAGCTTTAGGAATTTTAGAATAAAAGTTACATAATCTGTACATGAGACCTATTGAATGCAACATTTGAAACACGTGTATGGCAGACTGCAGAAAATTGCAATGTTCCAAAGTAAATGCTTGAGGTTATTTGAAAGTTGCCCATAATAAGGCTCGTTCATTAAACTATGAATGAGCCTATTATTTCAACTTTTATTAATTAATTAAAACTGATTTTTTTGAATACGTGAAAATCAATAGATTGCCAAATATTACAAGATATATAATCGTAATTTTTTTTTATAATTATTTTTTTAAGAGGATTTTTTTCTCTTCTTGTAATATGGTATTTTAGTTATTTTATACTACTCACGTTGTGGAAACAACAACTTTATTTGTTCGTATCAATATAAAAACAAAATAAAAAACTGAACAATCCGTTTTAGAAAATAGAAACTTTAATTAATTTCTTTTTTACCTTATTTATTCATTTTTAGCAGAGGAATCATAAAACATGAAAATATTTTTTTAAAAGCTGCAATTTTTTTAAAAAGGTTTATGATTAAAACTAAATATATAAACAACAAATTAAAAAATAAATAATTGTAAGAAATGTCACAGAAACGTTTTTCGAGGTTTTTGATAAATCACAGATGTCCAAGGTTAGTGCTCTAAAAAGGATTTTGATTGTAACAAAATTATCATTTCGAAAATTTTTTAAAAGGAAAAAAAGTCTTGTATATTACTAAGAGGAATATCATTATATACAATATTTTAGTTAGCTATTATATATCATAGTTTTAAACAATACTGAAGCTATTGCTTTCAAAATTTATGAAAGATTGTCAATAAAGTTTAAAAATAAATAGTAAAAAAATAAAATGGAAACAATGTAATTTTTATAATACTTAAACTGAAATATATGACAGAATATTTACATGACAAAAATTAAAAATAATATATATATATATATATATATATATATATATATATATTATATATATATATATATATATATATATATATATATATATATATATAGAGAGAGAGAGAGAGAGAGAGCTATTATTTCTCAAAAATTTATTTTGTAATTTTTGAAAGAATATAATTATTTGTTTGCTAAGAAGCAACTGGCAAATAAAAAAATATATATACAACGCCGGTGGTACTTATAACGTTATATTATTAAGTTATTTCCTTAATTGAACTATTAAATATATTATAAATTATAAATATCGATTGATGAAGTATTGTATTTTAATTATTAGTTATCAAAATAACTCAATAATATTTTTTTAAATATAATAACGTGATAGCAGATATAAAAAAAAAATTGTTTTTCAAAATATTTGAGAAAGAATTTGAAAATGAAATATTATAAAAAAAAAGTAAATAACTGCAATTATTATCGATTAGTTTTAAAATTAATCATGTTTCTATTATGTCAAGCGATGACTAATGATTGCATACTGGATGTTGTATAAAAAACAAATTTTAAACATTTAAAATTCTAAATATGTTGGAACTATCTATTGAACTATATTCACTGATAATACTCACAGATAGTGAAGAACTGAGAAAGAACTGAATACCGCTGATGAACTATATATAAAGAACTATTCGATAATATTTTATTGGTGCTGTGTAGCAGACTGAACCGCGAAGCGAAGAGGGACCAGTTTATAACTGATAAACTATCAGCGTATTACGGACTGGGGTGGGGGTGATGACGTGATCATATTTCTGCGATCATATTCTTATCAGAAAGCTACGGTGCCAGCTATCAGGGCAAAATACATCCACATATATCGATTCTACTCGTTTTGAAACGAGGAAAAAAAAAATAATACGAAATTTATTTTAAGTCGAACACAAAATAAATAAACTATATTTACTATTCTTGCCGTATCATGTTTTAAGAGATCGAACTCTTTGGCAAAGGCTATTGCGCAGATGTTGAGGTTTATTTGATATTCCTTGGGTTTTTCTATTAGCTGGTTGGGTCCTAAATGTTTCTATAAATTAAACATCTTGAAATTTTTCAATTTGTTCGTCTTTGAATTATTTCTGAATTTTTTTTAATCATGTTAGTAACGGAATAAAACATCGTACGGAATTTATAATAGTCTGCTAAAAACAAATTAATGATACTTAATATTCTGATCGTATCACAGTTGTAACAACTGAAAAGAGCAGAGTTTCGATGTTTTTAGAAAGAATACATATCCTTATATTGCAAAACGACACAACACTAAATACATTTTGGTTAAAGCTTAATTAATTTTTTTGCGAATTTATATCTGCTATATGAATATAATTTTTTTTAAATACATTAACATCACGAAAATTCTCTTATATATAAATAAAAAAACACATTTTTGTGATTTTCCAGAGTGAAAATTCATTATGGTACTTAATGATTTAAATTTATTAAATTTTATTCAATAACTTTCAGCAATAAACCCACAATGTTTTTATTTCTTTTACTTATGATAAAATCATCCATAAAGACCTTAATGTTCCATATGTTTCCGATTTGTTCCAATCCAGATACCTATCCTTCCATAACAAACTGCAGAACCATCCGAATCCTTTCGTTTCAAACCTTGCTTCCTCCTCAATCCCTGATAACCCTCCGTCTGAAAAGAAGATGGCCTCGGGACCTTCTAATATAGAACTTTCATTTGAGTTCTACCAATGGGTAGTTTCTCTTCATGTTGGACATGTCATGTTACCAATGTCACATTTGCCTGTTGTATTTTCCATGTAATACAGTAGTGAATTTCATTAAAATAAAAAAAATTAAAAACTTATGATAAAAAAAAAAAATTGTAATGTTGAGAATTTTTCCCCACTGTGAATAAAGGTAATAGGTTCTTAAGTCAAAAATAATTATAATTTAAACATATAATTCAGTAGGACCGTTTTTCTACGCAAGAACTTATTCCATCTATCCATAAAATTACAGAATAATTATAATTATTGTACCGAATTGTACAAAATTGTAGAATTGTGAGTCAGCATTTATTCAAAATAAGGTTGTAACAGATATTCAATAAATAAATTAACAATCATTATTTCGCTTACATATAAGTTGTAATTTTAGCCCAGGAGATCGGAAAAAAATTGATTCGAAAAAAAGTTATAATTATTACCATTTATTTTCAGAAAACCTGTAGGTCTTCAACTCCTTTATGTATTACTTTTTACTTATGTTTACATAACTGTTTATCAGTATCGAAAAACTTATATATCAGAATATATATTTTTTTTAAATTAATTATGGAACTCTTTTATGTGATAATATTTAAGGAAATATTATTATTATTGCACGTTTGAACACTTGGGCAGAACTTAGATAGATAGGTAATGTATAGGTAGATTTGATACAGAAATATGTCTTGTTTATTCCTGATCACATTTAAATATATAATTTTGATTCACAGAATATGTCATATATTTAACATATATAGAAAAATATTATTTAAAAAAACGAATAATACTATTAGCAAAAAATACAATAATAATAATATTATTTAATAATTGTCGCTGATCAGTTGCATACTTATGCTCTGAATAACAACATTCTGGTTATATGGTTCAATAAAAGGAATAAAATAAAATTTATTAATTTTAAATTCTCCTAGTAAATTTCACACCGGCTATCACTTTGTGATGAAACTCAGAACGTCAAAGACAATAGTACGAAATAAAAATACGGCGTTAATCTCACATTCTTATCACTGCTAACGCCAATCCCTGTTCCGATATTGTTGATGTGTTTTTTATTATATTTCTTTTTTTTATTATTATTTGTAAATAACTCTCTTACCTAAATATATGTGTCATTTCTTAATGAACTAAGATAAACAATCTCTCTTTACATCAATTGCTGGGTCAATGAAAGATCAATCTTTCTATTTATAAAGAAATTAATTAACTAAATATTTAGTTAAAAGTGTACTTGATAATTTTAGTTGGGAAATCTGTAGTAGAGTAAATATATTTAAAAATAGTAATATACGAAATAAAAAAAAAATATAAAATGTATTACTTTATATTTGATCCACAAATAGCTTATTATCACCAAAAACATGTCATAGTAAGAAATCATGTTTTGTTTTTAAAAAATTAATATCGCAAGAATTTTTGCAATAAATTTAATCAGTATTGTCATTTTTTAGTATCCAATGCTTGCAGTACAATATTTTTATTCTTACGCTTTACAGAGAATAAGACTTACCCATAAATACTTATAAATATGTAGATTAAAATACGTATTTCTATCTAGTCCGAGTTACATGCCACTTGTTATCAAATTATTACAATACAAATCTAAACATTCGCGAATGGCTTCGTTTTATTGAAGGCTACAATTATTTTATATATAAAAATTTTCAGATATGGGCTCTAAAATAATATTGAGAAAAAGGTGAGCAACAAAAATATTGGGCTGTTTTCCCTACATAACCTTTTTATTCTGACCTGTTGGGGGTAAATTTGTCACAAATAAAATCATCCATAAAGACCTTAATGTTCCATTTGTTTCTGATTAGGCCCAATCCAGACGTTTCTAACTTTTCTTCCTCCTCGATCCCTGATAACTCTGCTAAGCGTATGAAAAGAAGATGGCCTCGTGATCTCCTAATTTAGATACTTTATTAGAGTACTACCAAGCTTCTTTACAAGCCTTGTCATGTCATATATTTTTTTGTGTCACATTTTTTGAATGTATATTAATTTGTACAGTTGTAAATTTCATAAATAAAAATAAGGTTTTTATATAGTTTCGATGTGACATCACCTCTTTTTTTTAAGAAATTAAAAGATATGGTTAGAAAAAAAAAATCAAATGAATTGAATTATTCTTAAGTTTAAATTTTATATAACGATTCTCATTTTATAATTTAATTTTCTGAGCTTAGTTACAGTAACAAGAGAGTATTTTCTATCCACTGAAGCCTGGATAGACACTGAGAAGGGAAATTATGGAGGGGTACGCCTTGCTTCCATAAAGTACCCGACCCTTAGATTGTTGGAGGGAAAAACCTCGCAGTTGCTCGTGACTGGTGAACTAATCGCTCTGTGCAACCGATGTTCTAGAAACAATCCTTATTTATCGAACAGTTAAGTCAATATACTTCACGAGCAATAGTGCACCAAGATTCTTTTTACAAATTTCAGAGCAAAAACGAAGATTTATTTTAATAATGTTCTGCTTACATTTTCGAAAAAAAAAGTAATAATAAAATACTTAAATATCTAATAAATATAATTGAATATAGAGATAAATAAACTACATTTCACCCTTAAACTCAAAATCATCTCAATCCACTCGATCTATCAATTTCCTCCTCCCTGTTGATTGGTCGATTTAGATTACATGCAGATCTACGGAGAGAGAGGGGGAGGGGCTTTCGGGCTGAAGCCCCCCCAAAATGGTGAAACATATCCATGTCTTACGAAAAAAATTATCTCGAAAAAGTATTATTGTTCGTTAATTACATTTAATAGGACTTCGAGAATCGCCATTTCTTATAGATAGTATCTTTCTTTTTTTTCCAAAGTAATTATCGTTATGTGTAGAGAGAAAAAAAAACTTCCAGGCTGAAGCCCCCCCCCCTAAATAAATAATAATCAAAAAATATATACAATAAATAAAATAAAATGACCTAAATATATGAAAATTAAAACTAAACACAAACACACGTATACCTATATACACTAATTAATTATAAATTAATCTAAACATTTATACTGGAATATTTATCAAAACGTAATTATAAAAATCTTTAAAAATAATTAAAAACTTACTTGTTTTAGGAGAATCCAAAAGTGAAGACACTAAAGAGGATTTTTATTCTTCAGTATCTGAAAATAATAAGGTAACCTATAGTACAATATTATAATATATATTATTATTGTTACAATATTTTTATGACAAATGACAACAAGTACTACGTATAAATAATTTTATAATAGTATGTCTGACAAGATTAAATATGAAAATACTAGTTTTTTGTTCAATACATGCAATTTCGGCGACATTCTTCGCGAAGAATAGAGGCGAATTTTATCTCGAAAATATAGGAGGAGGTTTTGAAAAACTAATATATTGTTCTGTCTTAAAATAGTCTTAATGGAACTATTCTAATATATATTCTAATCTTTTTTTTTTTTTTTTTCTGAAACCTTATAATAAGATAAAGAAACAGAGAGGTACCTCACAGATAGGGCAACTGCCTCAATACAACGAAACGTAACACCAAGCTGGAGAAATAATTAGCTAATTCCTTCTACAATAGTTTGAACAAATCATGGCTCAAGTTTACGTTGAGCAATTGTCAACAATATTTGTTGCAGGGTCCATGGAAGGCCATCTACTGCCACGATAGTGCATTGTTTTGTCAACGTCTTATTTGTTCTCGAAAAATAAAGACGTCCAGTTAGGATATTACGAAAATGGTTAGGTTCCGCTCAAGACTATTTTCGGATATAAATATGTCGAGTTGGCGACCTCAACCTTGAAGGAAATTCTTAGTCTGATAAGGAGTGGCATTAAGAATCCAAGCTTGCCATTATTCTTTTGTTTTGTTTTTTTAAGGGAAAAATTATTTATGATCCCACTCTTATTCTTGAAAACCAGTGATATAGTCCGTGATACAGACCCCTTTTTACC